GGCGCTTGAATTCATGAAGTCTGGGAACCAGTGAAAGCAGCTCATCGGAGCAATTACCATGAAAGTATTTGTAGAAAAGACAGAGAGAGGCGACGGCGCGTCTGTGAGAGAGCAACTGCAGACGAGATGACAGATCAGGGCCAATTATATTACATATCCGTCTCTGGATCTTGTCAAGAACTCCGAGGTAAACAGAAGGTGCCCCAGACCATATATGACAGCAATACTCCATGTAAGGGCGAATGGTTGATTTGTATATTTGAAGTATCGATTCCGGGGAGAAAAATTTTCTGGCGCGGCACAGAGAGCCAACTTTCCTCGCGGTGGAAGAAGCAATTGACTCAATGTATTTGTTCCATCTCAGGTCAGCACTCAACGTGAGACCGAGCAGACGCAGGGAGTTGCTCTCAAGAAGTTGACTATCAGACATTCTAATGAGGGGTGGGGGCGCAGGGAAGGATCTCTATGGTGATTAATAGAGAGTAGTTTAGTTTTTGAGGCGTTAAAGTTGACCAGCCAATTCTTACCCCAATTAACAACTGAACATAAAAACATAAAAAAAAAGATTTAATCGCTCACGGAAACTAATAACCCGGCATCAATAAAAGTTCATTCAATTAAAGAACGAACACACACACACACACACACACACACACACACACACACACACACACACACACACAAAATCCATACAAACACACAAAAAAACAATAAACAAAAAACAAAACAAGGGTCAGTGCAAGCGTTTTGTTTTGTTTCTCCACAACAAAAAAAAAAAACGAATATATAAAACGGAGGCCCCCCTTTTCATCTCAATTTACATACGGTCGTATTTATATAAAACAAATTTCTTTTGTAACCTAATTATGTACAATAACGGATCCAATGCAATATAGGTGAACAATTCAACTATTAGGTTGGTGCAAAAATAATGACATAATAATGTCGTTTTTTGACGTATTTTTTAAGGTCAAAAAACGACATTATTACGTCATTATTTTTGCACCAACCTAATAGAAATCTTGAAAATAAATACAATGTATCTAAATACAAATTAGAGACCTGTCATAATAGATCATTTCATCTTAAATAAATCAACAATGTTTTGCGCCAATTTTTAGCATCAACATGAGATTTTTTTTTGTGTTTAAAAGTTGAATAATTTAAACACGTTCAAAATTATGAATAAAAAATAGTGAATTTTATATATTAGGTTGGTGCAAAAATAATGACGTAATCATGTCGTTTTTGACGTATTGTTTAACGTCAAAAACGACATTATTACGTCATTATTTTTGCACCAACCAATATATATATATATATATATATATATATATATATATATACATATATATATATATATATTTATATATTTTTTTCCAAGATTAGTCAAGTTGGTGTTATTGGTTTAATTTAATTTAACTTAGAGCACTAGTACAGCTGAGAAAAATATTTTACAATAATAATAATAAATTGTTGATAAACCTCTAAAAATGTTTATAGGAACGCCCAGAAATGACGTCATATGATTATCTCCAGATGGTGTACACAGAGGTATCTTGATCTCTACGTGAGTTTTATTGTGACGATGACTGGTCATTGACATCGACACAGTGTGCAACATCGCTATCTAGGTGACTCTGGCAGTACATTACGCGATTTTAAAAGTATTACCCATACCCGTTCTAGGCAATCATTTTATTAGTTACACCCCGAATTCAGTATTCATACTAAACAGATGTAAAGAGATTAAAAACTTTATTGTAACTTATATTGTCGTGAAATTTGTGTTGTTATTGTGATGCGGTTGACTTTACACTGGCCAGACAACAATGCCGTCCTCCATAAAAAAAAAAACATTACCCACAACATATTTATGTACAATAATGGACCCAATGCAATATAGGTGAACAATTCAAGTAGAAAACTTGAAAATAAATACAATGTATCTAAATATAAATAAGTGACAAGTGATAATAGATAATTCCATCTTAAATAAATCAACAATGATTTGCGGCAATTTTTAACATCAACTCGAGATTTTTCTTGTATAAAAGTTGACTGGGAAACAAGAAGCCGGGAGAGAGTTCCACAGGCGAGAAGTGCGATAGAAGAAACTGTTAGCAAAAAACTTGCGGTTACGTCTAGGCACTTCAACTGCAAAATGAGGGGACCTTGCCGCCAATCTAGTACTGCGTTTAGATTCATAAAGTCTAGGTAGCATAGAGGAATGTTCATTGGAATAATTACCATGAAAGTATTTATAGAAAAAGAAGATGGAAGTTACGTTACGGCGGTGGGGAAGGGACTGAAGTCGAGATGCCAGATCAGGACCGATGATATTGCAGATACTTCATTGGATTTTTTTTAAAACATCAAATCGAGATTTTTCTTGTTTAAAAGTTGACTGGGAAGTGTAGAGGACCGGTGCGAGGTGAAGATGAAAAGAAAAACCGTGCGTTTATATTTCCTGCTAGAAGAAGGTCCTTCTACAATAGAA